TCATAAATTGACATACATGCACCCTTTTCACACACAATTTGTTCAGTCCCTAAGGCTAATCAGAGGCTATGGTATTTTGTAAATATAAGTAATAGGGCAGGTTATTGTAAGGGGATGTAGTACAACTTCTTTGAAGTAAGATTTTACATCAACATTGTCTGTCACTGTCATAATTGCTATAATCTTAGTTTAAGTCATCATTAAACTCCAACAAAAGGTCAGCCTGTGAGACCATTCAAGCATCCATGTAAATAAACAACATTAGGGGACTGAGTGTCAGCATGTCTTCGATCATGTCTGCTCTGTCTTCATCGCTTTCAGGCTTTGCTTTTTTTCTCTTTGTCTGCCTCCCTCTGACCTGTCTATTTACCCAGCAACCCCCTCTGTAACAAGGACCGTTCGTTCATCAGCCATGTTTAAACTGCAGACAGGATTAACTTGGCTAAAGACTTAATGCACATGCACAGTCACCCCATGCTCTGTTTGCCGTTTCCAGGCCGCAGATCGACAAGCTGCTCTGTTAGGCTTCTCTTGCTTGTTCTCAATCTCTCTGGGCTCCCTAGGCCTCCTCCTCCTCCTCCTTCGTCCTCATTTTGCCTGAATTAATTGAGTTCTCATTTTTGTGAGAAAGCTCACAGGAGGGCTGTGTGAGGAGAGAGAGAAGAGTGATAGAAAGAATTCAAGAGACAGAGAGAGAGATCAGTGGCATAAGCCTAGGGGGCATAGCTCTCCCAGAGGTAGGCACTCGCCAGTTTCCTGGGGGATGTTGAGGCCCCTCTGCAGTGACTTATATCTTTATCCTCTCAACAGTCACCCCTCAGCACTTCAGGGAAGACCCATAGGCTTGTGGTCATGGTCAGGCAGATGTGCTTCTTCACTCTGCCAGCCCAAGGGAGGCTGCCACCTAATTTAAGCTCTTTGTGTCTGTAAAGCTAAAAAAAAGTGAAAACACTGCTTTATGTTCTTGATAAAATGTTGTACTCTTGTAAATTACTTCAAAAAAGACAAGTGAGACACAGACAAATTAATTATGTATGTAATTTAGTTCAATTGTATTTGTATAGAGCCAATTAAAGAGAGAAGGACAGAGACAGAGACATATTGGCAGTGGGGGTCAAGCAGGACCAGGGCAACAGGCACCACCAGGATCCATGAAAACCTGCGATATGATAAAGCACAAAAAACTCTGGGGAAGATAGTAATTAGTGGGACATGAATGTGTCCAGAAAGAGAGGGAGAGGCAAAGAGGAGCTCAGTACATCATGCAACCAGTCTGATATGAGCAAACACTGAGGAGGTTCACCAGGGCACTTCAGCAGTGTGCTAAACAGCTAAACACTGAGCTGTTGATTCTCAGTGGGATCAGCAGGACTAGTAAACCTTTACCACTACAGGGAGTCATCAGATTCACTGTTCACATCCAAATATCACTTCATGGACCTTTACCTTGTGTTTGTCTCTGTGTGG